TAAATAAAATTTTTAAGAAAAAGAGAGAGAAAATGCACTAAGGGATTTAAAGATTCTGTGCTGTATTTTTTCTGCTTGCCCCACTATGTCCAATGTCCTCCCCTCTTCATCCTGCTCTGTAGCCTGGGAGATTGATTTCAGATGATTTTGTCCAACTGTAGGCTAATGAGAGTTTTCTGAGCATGGTTGAGGTGGTTAGGCTAAGCCATGATGATCAGTCGGTTAGGTGTATTAAATGCATTTTCGAATTATGATATTTTCAACTTACAATGGGTTTGTTGGGACATAGCCCCATCGTAAGTTGAGGAATATCTGTATATGAATATATTCATGCATATCTATACACACATACATATGAAAAATACATGATTTCTTCCTCGTTTATCTGAAAATGTCGTGATTTTGTTCTTCCGAATGATAACATTCCCAGGTGACGTGATTTTCTCTCAACATGTTAAAGGTATTATTCCATTATCTTCACACCTTCCTCATTGCAAAGTTTGATTTCATTTAATTTTTATTCCTCTGTAATTCATCTGTCTTCTGGTTGCATTTGAAATCTCTCTGCCTTTGATATTTCATAATGATGGATCTAGGTGTGGATTTATTTTCACTTACATTGCTCAGAGTTTGTTAGACTTACTGATTTTAAACATTTTTATCCATAACCAATTCTGAAACTGTCTCAAATGTTCTACCTTTGAATCTTCCCTCCCCCCATTCTCTCTTTCGGGAACTCTTACCGTAATACCCTGGATGCTCTCATTCTCTGCCTCCCTCATATTTTTCATTTCTCTCTCTCTGTATTGTATTCACGTTTCTTATATTCTAGTCCACCAGTTCTCTCCTGTTAGGTACGTCTAATTAGATATTTGCCTCTTCCATTGAATTTTTTATTTTAATGACTATATTTTTCATGTGCAGAAGTTCTATTTGGTTCCCTTTAAGATCATTCTGCCTGCTTATTTTTTCATAGCGTATTGCCTTTTATGTGTTCAATGCTTATTTTTTTTTTGGTGTCTATTTTTAAAATCCTTATTTTAAAGTGTCTATCAAAAAAATTCATCATGTGAAGTCTTGGGTATCTAATTCTGCTGTTGACAGCTGACCAAATGTGTTGTAATTTTGGATTGGGAGTCCTTTTTCTGTGTAGTTTTATATATGGGGAAATATGTGTAGCCTGGGTTGAGAGTCATGGCCTTCTAAAGAAGGTTTAAAGTTGTTTTTACCAGTTGCCCCAAGGATCCTCACTGGCCAGGGACACATATTCACGTTAAATTTTTCGAGTGTGGATTTCCAGACCATGAAATGTTGATGGATGAACGAGAATCTTTATATCCCTTGTGATTTTTGAAATCCACACACATATTTGTATTAAACTAAATGTTTTTGAGCATTTGTTTCTTTACTCCAGAAATATTTGTTGAGTATGGCAGGCAGTTGGGGGCACAAAATTGGAAAAGCGACCACTTTTGAGAAGATGGCCATAAAAACAAGAATTTAGGTTTAGCATGATACGTTTTGCTAGGGTGTATATATATATATATATATACACACAGGACGAGTAGCCCAGAAGAACCACTAACAGCAGTTGGAGTAGGAAGAGCAAAGGGAAAGGCACTGCCCAGCTGCTGGTTAAAATGAGCCTAGCATTGTTAGTACAAAACGAGAACGTGATAACATGACAAGATTCTATGGTTGCTTTCTCCTTAAGATGGCACTATAAACTCACAATTCATTTGTAAAGAAAGAATACATTAAAAATAACTGCGATTTATAAAAAAAAAAAATTCACTCAAACCTTCTAATATAAACTAGGATGGCTTTTGTGTGTCAGACACTAAGTGCTTTTAGGTGTCACTTTCATTTCATCTTTACAGACACCCGAAGAAGTAGAGACAAGGAGTAGTCTGCCTCATTTTGCAGACTAATAATAGGAATCAGCGAGGGTGTAAGTGACTTGCCCCCAGTCCCGAAGCTGGTAAGTGGCAAGGCCAGGATTTTCTCTGGGACACCCTGAGACCATGACCTGAGCTGAAACCAAGAGTAGGACACTTAAGCAACCGACTGAGCCGCCCAGGCGCCCCTGTCACCAAATCTTGGCTGAACCTTTTCTTCTTCCACATTAAACCAGACCTTGCATCAGAGGCCCTATCTTCTCCTGCACTTCCTTCTACACATAATCTCCAACCCAGATAGCAAATTTTAAGAGAAGGCTACCTGTATGGAAAAAGTAGTTTGTCTTTGAAGCACTTGTGTGTTTAGGTAAGAGTTAAAGTAAATGCAAATACTGTGCTTAAATTGTCAAGCGGTACTGATTAGCTAGCATGCCTTCTGCGAGGGCATTTCTAAACCCGAGGAAACTATATCGTGCTAACTAGCCTTTCATATTTTCATCCAGGCGAGATATAGTTAAAATGAATGGCAAGAGCAACCTGGAAAGGAAGAGAAGCATCCAAAGAGTGAATCCTGCCAAAGGAACATTAAGCGAGGAGGGATAAATTAATCCCCTTACCTTCTACCTCCTCACTCCTCGTATATGAACTACATGTTGTTTCTTAACAACTGGTAACAATTACCTCTTTCCTTTCTGCCCTAACTTAATAACTAATTGCCAACCCTCACATTTCCCCCCCAAATTCCCAAAGCTGGTGTCCCAAGTAGTATTTATTTATTTTTAATTTCAAGTTTTTATTTAAATTCTAGTTAACTAACACATATGGTAAAATTGGCTTTCAGAGTAGAATTTAGATTTATCACTTACATTCAACACCCAGCACTCATATCAAGTGTCCTCCTTAATGCCCATCACCCATTTAGCCCATCGCCCCCATCCACCTCCCTCCACCAACCCTGTTTGTTCTTTATTGTTGAGTCTCTTATGGTTTACTTCCCTCTTCTTTTCCGTCCTTCTCCTATGTTCATCTGTTTTGTTTCTTTAATTCCACATATAAGTGAAATCCTATAGTATTTGTTTTTCTCTGACTTATTTTGTTTAGCATAATACCCTCTAGTTCCATCCACCTCATTGCAAATGACAAGATTTCATTCTTTTTGATGCCTGAGTAATATTCCACTGCATATATCTACCACTTCTTCTTTATCCATTCATCTGTCGATGGACATTTGGGCTCTTTCCATAGTTTGGCTATTGTGGACATTGCTGCTATAAACTTTGGGGTGCACGTGCCCCTTCCGATCACTGTGTATCCCTTAGCTAAACACCTAGTAGTGCAATTGCTATGTTGTAGGGTAGTTCTATTTTTAACTTTTTGAGGAGCCTCCCTACTGTTTTCCAGAGTAGCTGCACCAGTACTATTTCTGGTTTGGCAACCTTTGGAGCAATTTTGGTAGCCAATAAATCCTGTGGAGTGGGAGAAACTTGGAACTTCTGCCTACGGATTAATTTGGTATCGGGGGTGGAGTTGGCAGGAGAGCAGGCGGGTTTAAGAGGCAGTGATGAGGAAGGGAAACCCTCTGGAAAGAGAAAAGCAGAAGATGTACACAGGTTTCCCAGGGAAACACACCAGGTTCAAACCTAAGCCTTTATACCAGCTGCTGAACGTGGACAAATTCAGTTTCTCTATTTATAAAATGGAACTATCACTAGATCTACTTCATGGGTTGTTATCAGGATTAAATGAATGAATTCACATAAAACTCTTTGAACAATGTCTGAAGATAGTAAGTATTCAATAAATGTTAGCTCTGATTTTTATGATGGATTTATGTAATCCCTAAGCAAGGAGGCTGGTTGAATGCCTCAATCTAGTCACTACATATTATAAACCCCTTGCTATGCACGAGATACTATGTTAGGTCCTGGAGACACAATTTTCATTTCTTTATTCAGCAAATACAACTAAGCTCTCGACAGGAATAACAGGGTGAGGAAATTATAATGTCTAGCATACTGTTGAGTCGGTTCACATATCTTGAAACCTTCCTCAATATTTCAACTCTATTTAGGGATTTGATTTGCAAAATTTTGCTTTACTATAGACGTTTATTTTATTGTCTCCATAAACCTTGGGATGTTTATTTTGAATAGTTGAGTCTCGTTTTTTGTTTTCCAAGTAATGTGGTCTTCAGGGAAGTATACTACTCTTTACAGATTAATTTAAGAGTTTTGACTTTTAAGTAATCTCTATGCCCAATGTGGGGCTCAAACTCACAACCCAGAGATCAAGAGTCACATGCCCTAACAACTGAGCCAGCCAGGCACCCACCCAGAGAGTTTTGACATTCTTGAGCGGGAATACCACCGAACTCTGTGAGAACCATGGATTTTTGGCCATACAAAGCAGGAAGAGGTATGGACCTTGGGGTCAGAGAGACCTGACTCCAAGTTCCTCCACTGGGCAGTTATGGAATCTTAAATAATTTGTTCACTCTTCTGAGCCTCGGTTTCTTTCTCTGTAAAAAGGGATAATAATATCTCCAATTTGGAGGATGTAGGGAGGGTTAAATTCATTCATTCATTCATTCATTCATTCAACAAGTATTTATATGTTGAACACCTACTACATACCAGACATTGTTCTGGGTACTGAGACTACACAAGTAAACAAAACATGCAAGAATCCCTATCCTCATAGTGTTTATATTCTAATAAGATAAAAGTTGGTGAAAAATTAAGTTGGCTTATACGAAATAAAACACTTTAAAAACTAATTATTGTATCAATGTATGCAGTGTTTATATCACTAATAGAAGGCCTAAGAAGAGCTTAACTGTGGCAGAGTAGCAATTCAAATTAGAATCTGCAGTTGTGTACTGGAGATCTTCTTTTTTTTTTTTTAAAGATTATATTTATTTATTTGACAGAGAGAGACACAGTGAGAGAGGGAACACAAGCAGGGGGAGTGGGAGAGGGAGAAGCAGGCTTCCCGCCAAGCAGGGAGCCCGAAGGCAGACGCTTAACGACTGAGCCACTCAGGCGCCCCTGGAGATCTTCTGAACAAGAAAAATAATGTAGAAATGAGTTAATTGCTAGTGAAAAGATTTTCAAATTACCTTTTATTAGGTAATCTTATGAGAGCTGTTTGGGTATACAAATATGTATATACAATTTTCTAAACATGTAAATAAAAAGCAGTAGTTTAGTATATCTGCCTGAATTCATATTACTCAAAACCTTACCAAACCATTTAATAAAAAAACCTGGTAAAATTGCTTAACATATCCTAAAAAATTTTGGGTGTATGTCCATAAACATTTTCAAGCTTGCTTCACAAAAAAAGAGTGCAATTTCTAATCCATGTGTTCAGAGTGACTTTCAAAGGAGTTCAAAGGGGGAAAAAAGAAGGTAGCATTTGCCTTGTAATACAGCATTAATTAATACTGACTTACCCTGGGACATTCATGAAAAGACCCTTTGTTATCACATATGGTAAAAATACTTAAAAATTAATACTCCAAAAAAATTAAATCTCCCTTTCTATGAATAAAACATAGGCAAGAAGATTTTATTTTCTTAGACTGACTTGTTACCATGAAAAAAACTGCATTCATTCTGCAGATACTACTGACACCTCATATTATTACTTTAAAAATAATTAATGATGCTTGAAATTCAAAAAGAAACCTGCAAGACTTAGTCTCCTCCCAATACATTCACTGAATGCAGAGTTAAATGAGCACATCTCATTTTGCTTGTGCCCTTCATTTGCATACTTTAAAATGACTGCAATACAGTACATTTGCATTTTTAACTGGAACCAAAATTAAGAGGAGTGATCTTTGCAAAATCAACATCCTGTACTTTCATAACAGTTGTCATACGCAGAAAAGGAAACAAAACAAAACAAAACAAAAAGCCCTGAGTCAGTATTTTTTGCAAAAGTAATGAAAAAGAGTGCTGTGCTGTGAAGTCATTTTATAACTTATGAAATGGTTAAGACTGTCCAGTATTCATTCGTTCTGCTTTCATTTCGATGGAAGAGAGGTATGGCTCTTGTTTAGTTGATCCAATTCAGATCATTTCTTAAAACTCAATTTCGTTTAAATCCTCAGAATATCCTGATGATTGCTGAGTTAAATCTTCCATTTCTGTCAGGAAAGACAAATAAAAAAGAGACAATAGTAATTTTCTCTATTTTTATTGTAGAAAAATAATTTGCATTCTTATGATTTGAGGCTGAGGCAAAATCCCCTTTTAATCAAGCTGATATAACTGGGAAAAACATTGTTACCTGTGCAGGGTCCTGCTTGGAATTTAACATCATCAATGGCAATATCACTTCTCACAGACGGTCCCCGAATGGCTTCAAAAATTACCTGGAAAGTAATGCAGTTTGAATTTAGAAAGAGAGTCATCCTGACAAAACAGTACTCATCAAAACCACAATGAGATATCACCGCACACCAGTCAGAATGGCTAAAATCAAAAACACAAGAAACAACAGGTGTTGGCGGGGATGCGGAGAAAGGGGAACCCTCCCACACTGTTGGTGGGAATGCAAGCTGGTGCAGCCACTCTGGAAAACAGTATGGAGGTTCCTCAAAAGTTGAAAATAGAGTTACCCTACGACCCAGCAATTGCACTACTGGGTATTTACCCCAAAGATACAAATGTAGGGATCCGAAGGGGTATGTGCACCCCGATGTTTATAGCAGCAATGTCCACAATAGCCAAACTGTGGAAAGAGCCCGTATGTCCATCAACAGATGAATGGATAACGAAGATGTGGTGTATACACACACACACACACACACACACACACACACACACACACTGGAATATTACTCAGCCATCAAAAAGAATGAAATCTTACTATTTGCAACGATGTGGGTGGAACAAGAGGGTATTATACTAAGGGAAATAAGTCAATCAGAGAAAAACAAATACCATGTGATTTCACTCGTGGAATTTAAGAAACAAAACAGATGAACATAGGAGAAGGGAAGGAAAAATAAAAATAAAATGAAAACAGAAAGGGAAGCAAACCATAAGAGACTCTTAACTATAGGGAACAAACTGAGGGTTGCTGGAGGAGAGGTAGGTGGGAGCATGGGGTAACTGTGTGATGGGCATTAAGGAGGGCACATGAAGTAATGAGCACTGGGTGTTGTATGCAACTCATGAATCACTAAATTCTACCTCTGAAACAACAAAACACTGTATGTTAACTAAACTGAATTTAAATAAAACATTTTTTAAAAAATAAATAAACAAAAACAAAAACAAAAAAACCAATACTCGTCAGGCAGATCCAGGCTGCGTGGGTCTGGAAGCTTTGACTGTTTTTCTAGCTCCTTTAAGGAAAGAGATACAAAATCACATATTCAAATCTAGGTACAAAAGAGAGTACTTATTTGGGATTTTAAAGAAATTCACAAGTTACTAGAGCCTTGGAAATTTAGGTCCCTTCCTTCTGAGATTTCTTTAGTCAGTTTCCCAGAAATGCTCACCTAGAAATGCTTCCTGTTGGTGACCTGGTTTCCCCTCCCCACGTAGAATATTCTGGCCCCAGCATTCACAGAGCCTATGAAAGTCATGGGCTAGAAGTTTAAGCTTTCTTAGGTTCTCCATAAATCTACAGTGATACCGGTACTAGGTGGAAGAATTTAACATGGCTGATGGGACCATGTATGAACAGCAAAGCATAATCATTAAGTTTACCAAAAGGACAATGGTTCACTTATCAAGTCAAATACCATCATATCCAAGAACAGCCCTGGAGGAGAGAATCAGTTCCCTAATTTTAGATCCTGAGAAGAAAATAACTGATCAAATATTCAGATTCTAGGGAAAAGAGGTTACATTACCAGTTCTAAAGCTGCCCCAACAACAATGGTTAATAAACCACTGAATACTGCAGGGAGGCTCATGGGTAATGAAAATGATCCAGAAGACACATTTGCTCTACTCATTTTACGAGCAAATGACTCCCCATTGCACTAGTTTATGATTTAAATTAAATCAAAGAATATAAAGTAATTAATAAGCATATGAAACTATCTTGAAATTAATGACTCAAAGAAGCTTTAATGACAGAAATGGGCAAAATAACATTATTAAAAATTCTAAGGACACAATCCCAAACAAGAATCCAAATAAGTAGTTAGAAGAGGGGAAAAATGTCCTAACACATCTAGATAGGAGGATATAGGAGTGCAGTTAATAAGCATTCTGGTTCTCTGGACATCACTAAAATCTGGTTTTTGACCTCCAAGTCTACAATGGAAATATAATAAACAAATTACCTGATGGAATTATATTCAGAATAGTCTGCAGTTGAGCCAAACACTTGATTTCATACAACTTACTCCTTTGAATTTCCTTAATACTTGAGCAATAACCATTTTATACCATTATGATTTACCCCTCGTATTGCAGATACACATTCTATTATTAAATAATTGTGGTTATTTAAGAACTAGATAACAATTTATTTTTTCTTTCAATTTAACTATTTTTTTTTCAAATGGCTACTAAGTTGTTAGGACATAAATACTTACTAAATTATTTGGAAAACTACGTAATAAATGAAACCATTATGTATTACTTTTACATTAGTGGCACCAGGAAAAAACTAATGAGACTAAGCATACCATGAACAATAAAATTTGGAAACGTGGTGTTAGATGAGTACCCAGCATGTAATAATTCCTACTAAATGTTAGTCAGTGTAACGAACAATATATATGATATAAATATTTCAATGAGCTAAGAATTTGTCTACCACTTTCTTTCAATAGCATCAAACTAAAAGAACCCAGGGAGGAAAACAGAGAGAGCAGAGGAGGAAAGATTAAGCAAGGAATCCAAAGGAAATAAAATCCCTTCGTGTTTTTGATCAATAGCAAGTCAAGTGTGGCTTAGCACTTTATTAAACCCCAAGGAAGAAGCATGATTAAAATTTTGCCACTTGATGCATTTCTTCTACAAGGATGGTCGGATGATTGGAATGTCATCAGGAGGCCACCCACTTACCTCCCCTACAGGATGACTCAAATGTCAGAAGTACTATAGCACTCTGAAAGTCATCTACACACGCCCACCCCCACCGATGACACACACATTGACTTCTCCAGCTTTGTTCTTTTCCCTGAACTCCAGTCTCACATCCTACCGCTTACCTGACATACCCATGTGGATGTCTAACAGACATTGAAAACGTTGCATGTCCAAAAAACCCCACCTATTACTTTCCCTCCTGTGCACACTGCCCTCACACCTCCAGATATGCCCCCACCTAAAGCCTTCCCCATCTCAGTAAATGGTAACTCCATTCTAGAGGTTGCTCAGGCCAAAACCCATGGACTCATCTTGATGCCTCTTTCTCTCAAGCCCCACATGCCATACATAAGTCCTGTAGGCTTCTGATGCATCTCACGTCTGGCACACAGCCCTAGCTACCACTCCTTCTGCCAGGACTATTGCAGTAGCCCCAAAGTCTCCTTGCCTCCCTACAGTCTACTCCCCAGGTAGTAGCTGGAGTGATCATTTAAAAATATTAACCAGACTGCATTACCTTAAAGCCATCTGATGGTTCTTCATTGCTTCTGGAATAAATTCCAAACTCTACCATGATGTCCAAGGCCTTTCATGATTACACCCTGATACTTCTTTAATCTCGTTACCTGATCAGCTTGACCTACTTTTTTTCATAGCACTTATTATCACCCGATGGTACATTATATATTTTTGGTTTACATTTTCTATTTCTCCCCGCCTAGAATATCAACTAAAAGAGGAAGAGCTTTACATGTTATGGTCATTGCTGTATCCCCAGTGCTTAGAATAGCAAGCAGTCAATAAACATTTATTAAAATGAGATATTTTGGCCTCATACTTTAGGAACTCAGTCTGGATGGCAATGTAACTATTGAGAATGTCACGGCTGCCATGGCGACATGAATTAGAGACTGAAGATATTTGGGAGGGAATATATTTTTAGAAACAATAACATCTTTTTATACTTTGGGACTTTAAAGTATATTAAACCTTTTCACATACATAATCTCATTTGACCCTGTAACTCTGTGATGTCAGCATGGCAGGAATTATTACCCCATTTTGAAATGTAGAAACACTCTGAGAGAGGATGAGATTTCCCCAAGATCACCCAGTGCTTATGACACCCAGGGGAATGAGTATATTTTGGAACTTCCGTGGTAGGAGGAAGTGTAAAGTCGTGGCTTAGGGATACTCACTTTGGGACCAGTCAGATCCGGGACTGAATTCTCACACTTCCACTTACCAGCTGGACATTTAGTTTCCCCATCTGTAAAGAGGAGCTATAAGATCAACCGGAAGAACTTATGTACAGCTCCCAGCGCTGTAAGTGCCTGGCACAGAGAAGACGGAGGGTTCATTTGCATGGGTGTGTCTGTGTTTTTATTAGACACTAAGATGTTTTGAAGAAACTAGTTCAGCCTGGTCTCCAGATAGTCATTTGGGATTCGTGATGGAATCACTAAATCCAGAAGGAAATTCCTCATGGCAGATTCCTATCTGTTCCATTTTAAGACAAAGGGAATGGTGTGGAGTCTTCTTTCCAGGTTGTGAGCTAAAAATCTCCCAGGCCATTCTGCACCCTTTGAACTTGAACACCTGAAGATGCTACCTGAGACGCCTAATTACTCTGGGATCAAAAAACCATTTCAAACAACCATCTACCCAGCAAGTGTAGTATATTCAAGGCCTTGGACTCAACTCCTTGGGTTTAGATGCTGAGAACTCAAATCCCAGAACCCTTGTGCATCAGCAACATTTGGGAGTTATAAAAAAACATCAGTGCTCAGGCTCCCCCCCCGAGAGACTCAGATTCACTTACTCTGGGACAGAGATGCTCCATCTTTAGTGTACACCTGAATCACCAGGAGGGCTTGCTAAGACATGGATTTCTGGTGCCCTCCCCCTCAGGTCTGGTTTAGTAGTTGCAGGTGGGGCCCAAGATTGGGCATGTTAGGTACATGTCATTTTAGGTGAATTTGCATTTCAAGCATCGCTGCTGGCCTCAGGACCACACTTTGAGAACATGTGAATCAGGTAGGAGTGTGAGTGCCCTAAGAGCCTAATGCAATTAATCTACCATCTCAGAGTGATGATCGGTTATATTAGTAAGTTCTTGAATGATGCACTTTCTTTCTGTAACAGACATTAAAGCACTATCCACTTTGTTCCTGGGGCTGTTATTCTTCACTCAATCTCTCGATAGTTTTACCCATGACACGATACAGGGCCATCCCCAGATAATGGCTCACATTCCCTCTATCATTTGTTCTTTAGGAACGCAGCACCCTGACGGGCCCACCTGAGCTTCTGCAGTCCCTTCCCATTTAGATCTGAAGAATATTCCACGTGGTTATGATGGTGTAAAATGAAGCCCTTATTGTGAAGACCTCTGCCCAGGAAGATTTGGGCTTAGCCAAGCAGCCAGTGGTTAAAGCTGAGGGGTGCTGACGACCCAAGACTATATTCATCAGTCCGAAGCAAGGATGAGGAGGAAGCAGTGCTTTTAGTGGAAGGTTGGAGCTGAGAATTCTACAGAGCAATTTCAGGAACAACCGGGCTCTGAAGGTTATTTCCCCAGAGCTCTCTGGAGCTTTGGGTCAGAGGAGGCAGGGGAAGTCAGTGGCTGCCAGGAGGCCCCTGCCCACCTCTAGACTAGATTGGCTGCTCAGCCTCACCGACTGGAATGTGAAAAGCTCTTCCCTGGTGCTGCCCAGGTTTGCTCATGACCAGGATGCTGTGGGCCAGAGGTCTCCTACTGCACATGAGACTCGGGACTCAGGATCAGGACTCTCAGCTTCTTCCATGTCATTGCAGACAGAGGCTTAACATTTCCTCTGGACCACACACTGTTAAATAGAGGCTTGCAGCTGAAGCCCTTGCGTGTAGGTAATGATGAGGGGAAGATGCAGCTGGGACAACTAATTAGGGTAATATCATGTTCGGAAGAAAAGAGGACCGTTTTAGAGACACGCAGGACACACAGAATGCACTTGATCCTCAGAATGTGCCAAGACAAAAATAGCCACCCTTCCATCACTAAGTTGCAAAAATCACTTTACAAATAAATACCCAAAGCTTACTCTGCCCACCTCATCTCCTATTCACTGCTGAGATTTAATCAATAGAGACTAATTATGTTTACTCTTAAACAAGTACTGTCTTTATCTATGACCCTGAAAAAGAACAGAATGTTCTCTTAGGTAGCAAGAAGAAGAAAGAATAGCAGAAGCTTACAGGACCCCTTTTTATCACTTGGCTCTTGTCTCTTCTGGCTTACCTGGTGTTGCCTCTCACAACTGTATTCAATCAGCCCTCGCAGCCAGGAGATGCTCTGTTCACCTCGTCTTCTCCATAAGAGGGACTCTTCACTCTCACCTTCCCTCTTCAGATAAACACTCAGCAGGCCGGTCCCTGCTCCATACATGTGGTAGAAAAAGGTCAAGCACTGTTTTCTGGCGACTCCTCTCAGAGGCCAGGACAAGAGCTGTGCTTTTTGTCCATACACCATGTGGGAGGCCTCGATGTACATGTAGTAGCCTGGAAAGCAACACAAAATCAGGTATTGTCAAACATGCGCACACACACACATATGCACATGCGCAAGGAATATTCCCTTCTTTCTCTTCTGAGTAGTGTTCCTGGAAACAAATTAAATGAATGACTTCACCACCATCCTGAGGAAGGATGTTATAATTTTGGAGAATATAATCCAAGAGGAATAGACATGCTACACAATCTAGACCATCAAAATAATTCTTTTCTCTTAATAATTTAAAGTTCATTTTAAAATATAGGATGTAATTAATGTTATTATTATAATACTAGCATTATGCCATGGATGTGGTGATTAACATATGTGACTTTACCCTACTAATTCATGGACAATGTTCTGGAGCTTCTAGACATGGGTTTTGGGGAGAGAGCATGGATTTTGTAGTCAGGTAGGTAGGTCTGGGTTCAAGTCTTGACTCTAATATTTGATCCTGGTCTAAGGAATTATCCTCTCTCAACCTATATTCATCATTTTGAAATAAGGATTAATACTATCTGTTTATACATATATAAATATATGTAAATTATATTACATTTACATTTACTTTTCCTGTCTTATTTTTAATTTATTTTTAATTTGCTGGTTTCAGGCAGAAGATTTGTCTGCACATAAATAAAACAGTGGTGTGCTGGAACCAGCCTCCATTGGCTCCCAAGAGTCAATTGAGTGGCTTCCGTTGGTAGGTCCAAATGACTTCATGTTGGTAGTTTGAAATGGGCCATGATGGATGTATTTGCCCCATAGAAAGCAGACATAGCTACAAATCAGCCATGGCCCCCCACCCCCCCAGTATAACTGGTTAGTGTTAAATAATTACCATCCAGCCACTGAAATAAGGCATAAGGCTATATATGAACAGTAATTTCTAGATTAACGTCCCAGTGATATAATTCTGTAGACCCGAGGCTCATTTTAGAAAAGGTCCTGGACTCCATATCTGTAGTTCTTAACCCTGGGTCATTTGATAAAAGTTTACATCTCTTCCACCTGAAAAACTATGCACAAATGTTTGCATGCATTTTTGCCTTCTTGGCCCACACTGATTTTTTAATATACATGATGTAAAACATAATCTTTATGTAGTGTTCAGTTATTATTTCATGCAGAAATTAATGGCCAAAGTGAGGGTAAAAAAAAAAGAGAGAGACCCCAAATACTGCATGCAGATGAAATGGTCTCTAGGGCATCTTTCTTTACAGTTGGATGTTTAATTAATTTGCTCTAGTCATTTCCCCAAATGCAAGGCTTGAAATATTCCAACCAGAATTGATCAGAAGCTCCATCTGTGCTTCTGCAGGGCATTCCTTCTTTCTCCCACTTCCACACACATGGACCTGAGAAGTCCCACAGGCTATTGAAGAGGTGGGAGAAATAGTCCTGCTTAGGTGGGTCTTATCAAACTGTATGCACTGTGCAACACCTTCCCCCAGTGTTCCACTCAGTAAAGTCGTCGCACTGCGAAACCGGGCCACCAGAGTCATGGGATGTGGCCTTCATCAACCAGCCTTGCCCAGCATCTCCTTTAAAATATTACAAATGATACTGCCTGTGTTTCTGGAGTGTTCACCAACGACATCCTCTTCACTAAACCAACGGTCAATATTCAGCCCTTGTTGTTTTTGTCTCATCTGTAGCATTGACGATAATACATCACTTCTGCCTCCAACAAGTACTTTCTTTTTTTTTTTAAGATTTTATTTATTTATTTGAGAGAGGGCGAGAGAGAGAGAGAGAGAGAGAGAACAAGCAGTGGGAGCAGCAGAGGGAGAGGGAGAAGCAGACCCCCCACTGAGCTGGGAGCCCGACATGGGGCTCAATCCCAGGACCCTGGGATCATGACCTGAGCCGACTGAGCCATCCAGGTGCCCCCTACAAGTACTTGCTTAACTTGGTTTGCAGGACACCTACTGTCCTGGTTTTTCTCCCACTTCACTGATCTCTCCTTGGCTAGTTCAACCTTTCTTCTCTGACCTTGTGCCCTTGGAGTGCTCGAAGGCCCTGGTCTCAAACTGCTTTATTTTCACTGACTGAGTGATCATCATTTCACACGTGAGTGATCTCCTCTTGTTCCATGGCTTTTAATGCTACATATGTTATCGTAGCACAAATTTAAATTTCCACCCCTCTGCTGAAACCCAAATGTGTTTATTCAGACTGCCTAATGGACATCTCCCCTTCTTGTCAAATAGATACCTCCAACTAAACATGTCCAAAACTAAACTCCAACAGCCTCACCCTGAAACCCACTGTGCCCTTTTTGGTTGGCCAGGCCCCAAACCTGGAAGTCCTGCACCACCCCCTCCTCCCCTCACTCTCATATCCAAGTTGTCAGAAGTCCCGTTGCTCTATCTTCAAAACATGTCCAGAATCCGGTTATTTCTCTTCTCACCACCTCCCTGCTACCTCCTGACCTGAGGCACTATTATTTCTCACTTGGATTAATGCAATACTTACTAGCTAGTCTGCCTGTGTCTGCCCTTAATCTCTCCAATCTCATCTCAACATAGTACCCATAGTGAAGAGAAGCTAAATCTTACCACTCCTCTGCTCAAAACCTTCCACTGATTCAGCATTTCCCTCAGAGTAAAAGCTGAAGGCCTGAGAATGGCTTTTAGGACCCTATAATCTCTTAACAATTTTCTTACCTCGATTTCTACCACATTCTTCTGCTACTGCCTTTCTTCTTACTCATTCTGTATTGCGTGACCACATTGGTCCCTGCGCTGTTCCTGGGATACAGTAGGTATGCTATCACCTCAGGGCCTTTGCATGTGCCAATCCCTCTGCCTGGAATGGCTTTCCCTCCATATCATCTCACTCTCACACTCTCATTTCTAAGTCTTTGCTCAGATATTTCTTTTTCCATTAGGCCTATTCTGACTACACTGTTTCAAATTATAATCCCCCTCTGGCACTCCTCATTCCCTACCCTCTATTATTTCCATAGCATTTCACTGCCTCTCGACATACTATAGAGTTTTCTTATTTTTTTAGGTTTGCCTGTCTCCCTTCTCTAGAACACACATGGGCAGAGATACTTTCTTGTTCACTTCATTGTTATGCCTCCAGGTCCTAGAACATAATATATACTCAATAAATATTTGTTGAATGAACAAATGAATGCATTTTCTTCAGCAGCTCTAAGCCCCAAACCAGTTCGACCAAGGTCACTCCAGTTGTGTGAGGGTCTTGGCAATGACACATGCACTGGACTAGGATGCTCCAAGGCAAAACTAAAATCCAAGTGTTGATAAAATTAAAGTCATATCAAAGCAAATGTTCTCAAACTAGTACCATGCCATTCAATGCATTTTTTTTAAACCAAACACATATTAGATTATTTTTTAACGTTGTTATCCTTCATTCTTTCACTGGCAAGAAAACTGCTGTACAAGAAGCACTGGGGTTTTTGTATTTTCAGCAATGAAAGGAACTTTTATTATTCTTTTCTTTAACATTTTCAAACTTAAGCTAGGCTGGATGTAAAAAAATACAGATATACATCATCTTAATAGAAGAGTATATATATTCTCTCTCTCTCTATATATATATATATAAATATATAAGATTATTTATTTATTTAAGAGACAGCCAGATGGTGGGGGTGGTGGGGAGGGGCAGAGGAAGAGAGAGAGAGAAACTACAAACAGACTCTGCGCTGAGCACAGAGCCTGACATGGGGTTTGATCTCATGACCATGAGGATCACAACCTGAGATGAAACCAAGAGTCGGATGTTTAACCAAGTACGCCATGCAGGTTAATTAAATTCTATGGAGAATAAGGTCAAAGCATGAAAATGACCATGGTTTATCACCTACCTCTGCACAAAGGTATCCCATGCTATCCCATACATAAATTAGTGGTGTAGTGCCCTGAAACCCTACCTTATTGCATGTTTAACCTAAAAAAAAAATTACTCCAAAAAAAATAAGAAGAAAATCAGAAAAATAACTTTTGTATCTGGCTTTGGGGTTCTCAGAAGGCCCACTTGAATCCTAAATAAAGAACCTTGACTAAAGATGAAATGCTCAGGGGCGCCTGGGTGGCTCAGTAGTTAAGCGTCTGCCTTTGGCTCAGGTCATGATCCCAGGGTCCTGGGATGGAGCCCCACGTCGGGCTCCTGGCTCCGTGGGAAGCCTGCTTCTCCCTCTCCCACTCCCCCTGCTTGTGTTCCCTCTCTCGCTGTCTCTCTGTCAAATAAATAAATAAAATCTTAAAAAAAAAAAAAAGATGAAATGCTCAGGTAGGGAAGAAAAGCAGGCTCCTCTAAAAGATGCTGTCCCCGGGAAAATGGAAAGTAGAGAGCATCAGGGCTCTGAGACGGACATCTTTGCAGAATGGAAAGGAAGCAATGGATCCATCATGAGTGAGAGATGACCTAAGAAGCACCTTCCCTCTAGTGATGACAGCATGCATCCTACTGGTAACAGTATGAATCCCAGACAGAATTAGTCTGAGATCCTGGAAGAGAGGAAAACCCCTAATAACCCCCAGGATTAAATGAAATTCTTTCCTTTTTGAGTACAATGCACTAACCATTTAGCCTCCAATGGGTGACGCATTTCTCTGGAAATGCTTTCAGCTCATGCACCGCTGGGTCTCAGGTATTAGGCTGAAATCATTACCTCAGGTCTCCAGTTCCCGAGATCTTTGTGTTTCAGACCATAAAGTATGAAAGGAAATCTCCCAGGCTTTTGAGCTGTGTAATTATTCCACTTTGGGAAGACGGAGGTAACATCCAGGGGGATGTGAGTACAACGCCTTGTGCCTTTCTGGGGCACTGACACCAGTCTATTTTTCTGGAGTAACGTTAGCCTCTCCAAAAATCCTTGATATCTTTTCTGTTAAGCACAAATGCATATTCCATAAGGTAATACCAATTTAAACCAATCTAGATCAATGTCTATACATATAAACAATTTTTTTTAAAAGATTTTATTTATTTATTTGAGAGAGAGAGAATGAGAGACAGAGAGCATGAG